TTCGAGTAATAGTGTGTGTAATAGCCGTAAGCTTAAAATAAGTTGGTTATCATTAAATTAGTTTTATTCTATACCACCGACCTTTTGCTGCCTTAATAAATAAAATTCCTACATATATAAAGCAAAATTATCAATCTAAAAATTTGAAAATTTTACTAGACAAAAATAATCCAGCTTTAACCAACATATGTTTCAATGTAAATGTTTAACACGTTAAGTGCTTAGCCCAGCCCGTTTTACTTTCGGAGACTCGGCTCCGTTCTGGCCCAGATCTGGCCGTCAAGTGGGCCAACGGGCGACGGGCGATGTGTTCATGAAATTCAGACATACTGTTACAATTGTTATGACAGAAATTCCCAAACGTTAGGTTCGAAGATGGCGAAGAATTTAACACTGAAAATTAGCACCCCTTGGTCCTAGTCTGGGCCGATCCCTGAGGACCAGTTAGGCCCGCACAACGTTGGGCGTGGCACTTAACGCGTTGAGTGAAAGTATACAATGATATACATGACTGATTTTCTATTGAAAATAACGAAAAAACTTACATGCATCATGCGTATGCAAAACAATTTAGAAAATCAGCAATAGTCCAAGAAAATTCATATTTTGTCCGATACAAAATAGTCTTGTGTCTTTTTTCTCTATTTGCGAAGGTAGTTGTAAAGAAGAGAAGCTTTTATGTACGGAAAAAAGTCATTTCGTATAACATATTTTGTCACTGCCAAAAGAATTTTTATAATTCGCACATATGCTGTTCACTCTATCCCTTGCATTTTAAGATTCAAATGGAATGATATTTATAATGTTACAAATTTATGTTATTGAAAGTAATGTAAACAAATTTTAAAGTATATGTAAATTTCAAATCTGTGACTTTGTAATAATATATCCATTACTCTATCACATTTTCTTCAGCAAGTAGTTTCCAACCTCATCGTGCAAACTATCTTACACACTGTATACATGTGTACATATATATATATATATATGCGTCGACAGTTCACCACAGAAATGGAATTAAAAAATTTAATTTCAAAGGTTACTTTTGCAGAGATTTAATTTAATTTCCGTAAATCGGATTTTTCACTCCAGGAATGAGTATACTTGCCCGCCCAGCATCCAATTTAGGAAGAGGAAAATACTAAACGGCATTTTCTCTTTCGTATATTACAGAGAAGCTTTGTTCCAGTATCTACACCGAGATTGTCGTCATACAACCTCATTTTGTTTACAATTCAGCACATAAATTTGAAATATTAATGAATGGACATGTTATAAATCAGTTTACTATTAATGAGCGGTAATAAACTACGTCATCCCATACTTGTTTACTTATGAATTAAAGACAACGAAATTTATCATAATAGAATTAAACGTAATGGAAGTGAATTAAGAATGGCAAAATTAGCATTAGAACAAGTAACTAATGCGATAAAATAATAAAAGTGTAGATTAAAATAAAAGTAGGAGAGAAATATCTTCGAGAAGAGAATTTTCAATTTTTCCTTAAGAAACTTTTAAAGAAGTTAAAATATTTCTCAACAAATTTCCTCAGAAACTAAATAAAAGGGACTAATTTTCGTATGCCCTTTACAAGATAAGGAGAATTTATTTCCATTGGATTACGTGCTCCTCGACTTTTGTCTGAAACAAATTTAATATCATTAATAGTTTAGAAAATATCAAAACAGATTGGTTTAAACGAGTTTCTCTATATGTATTTATTGTATGCACGGTGTTCTACTTAACTCGGAAACCTAGTTTTTCCGAGCATTACTATCAAGTTGACAAAGGAAACGTTTCAGACAAGAGTTTATCAGTTTCCTATCGGTTATATACTGAAACATTAAATTTTACGAAATTATTAGGTTTCCGATAAAAAAAATTGAAATTAGTTTATTTCCTTTTAACGGCGCAGCATATTTTTTATACAATAGAATAACGGCTGAAGTGGAGATAAATTCAACAATCTGCAATATTACGTTCTTCAGATAATTTTGAGCTGAAAAATTTCGGTTCAATAAACAAAGGTGGTCAAAAATAGAAAATTGCTTCAAATAATGGAGAGGTATCAGCACCATGCTACGTCATCATTAAATAATGTTGTTAATAAAATTGTTTCAGTGAGAGTTATTATTATAATCAACTACAAAACCAGTGAATAGACTATTTGCATAATAATATTTGTTTGACAATCAAATTTCGCGACGGACTTACGTTATACAAGGAATGAGCCGTAATCCTTTTATTATTTAATCGATGAAGGATAATGTTTATAGCTGTAACTTATTTTCTTTCAATTGTATATCCATGGACATAAATTAATTTCGTAACGTACATTATTATTTATTCATAATATTATCTCTTTGAGAAAATTTAAGGAATTTCTTCCTATACGTGTGATACGTTACTTACCACTCGCTGTAATATAAATTTATACGCATATATACAATATAACGAATAAAAACATTGATTTCAGTATTACTGTAGTCAGAAAAACCTTACTATGTTTACATTAAGTTCGACAAAATTTCTAAAACTTTGCACGAGTCAGATTAGCACAAATGAAATATTCTCAGTTAAATATGTATAAATGAATGACTTTAAAAATTCAGTTACAGTATTATGTATTGTGGTATCGCAGGATGAGCGGGTTATCTAGAGTGCGTGCGAAAGGATGAATGATCGTGCGTTAGGATCGTGCGGACGAGATGTTTATGAATGTATCGAGTGGCTTTAGGAATGCGTTTGAGTGTTTGGGCTGAGTGACCCGCTGAGGGTAAGATTGCGAGGAGTGCGTGGGAAAGTATGATTGGAAAGAGAGAATAGGTATGAAAGAGGATAGAATGGATGGTTTTAAATAGGGATGCAAGGGCGTGAGTGGAGTCAGTCAGTCGCACAGTCAGAGTCAGTCAGTGACAGAGAGAGAGGGTGTGGAGTCGGTCGCGGTACGTGTAGTATAGGAGAGTTCAGAGAGAGAGATGTGAAGAAAGGTGTATCAGTGTTGCGAATGTAAACGTGTTGTTAGGATTAATAAATTGTTTTAGTAGTATTCGTGTGGTGTTGTTGCCCCTCCCATCTCTACAATTTGGGGGCTCGAGCCGGGATTGAGACGAGCAATTGTGCAGTGACGATGAAGCTACGAATTGTTGAAGTCGTTTAAAGTAAATTTCTGTCAATTAAAATGGAAACGGTCGACACGTTAGATAATACAGTGGTGGACTGTGAAGAGGGAGACCAATGCAATGAAAAGTTGAAAGAGGTGAAACAAATGAAAGTGTCTGAATTAAGGCGGGAGTTGGAGAAACGCAAACTGAAAATAACTGGAGACAAGAAAGAGTTGCAGGATCGATTAAGGACTGACATAATGTCCAGGATTGAGCATGGCCAGGAGGGGGGCGACGACGAAGGAGGAATTGAAGGGGAGGGTATACGTGACTGCATAAGAAGAACGTATGTGTTCAACCCCCGGCACATTGAAGAGTCCATGGATACATTTGACGGTGACGGGGAGACAAACGCACGCAGCTGGGTGCAAGAATTTGAGGAAGCATCTAGGCTATATAGATGGGATGTAATACAAAAGATTTTCTACGCAAAACGGTTGTTGCGGGGATCAGCAAAACTCTTCGTTAAGTACGAAAAGTGTTGCCGAAGTTGGGCAGAAATGAAACGGTCGTTAATATCTGAATTTTCGAAAACCACGGATGCATACGAAATACATCGCGAACTATCGCGTACGAAGAAGAAGCCCGATGAAACGTGTGCTAAATATGCCTATCGAATGCTGGACATCGCAAACCGAGCGGATATGGAGACACCGGCAGTCATAAAATATATCATCGGCGACATCCAAGACGACGAGGTTAATAAAATAATATTGTACGGCGCCAAAAGCATCCAAGAGCTGAGAGAGAAGTGCACACACTACGAGGCCATGAAAGAAAATTCTAGATTGCGGAGCCGGCGACCCGAAGAGGGGGCAAGAAGAACAATCCGTGGAACCGGCACACGAGAACCTGTACGGCGATGTTTTCTATGCGGAAACAGCAATCATTTGAGAGCCAATTGCCCTACGAAGGGTAAAGGAATGAAGTACTTTAAGTGTAGAGAGCATGGACATATTGCGTCTGAATGTACGAACGAGCTACGTAGCGATGTGTACAATATATCTGAAGGCGCAAGGGAAAAGTGCCTAAAGGCGGTCCAAATGGGAGAATATAGGTTAGTAGCGTTGATAGACACCGGTAGCGATTTAAATTTAATGCGAGCGGAACATTATATTAAAATCGGCGCACCTAGATTAAGAAATAGAGATTTGGAATTTCGCGGTGTTGGGAAAGGAAATAATCGTACTTTGGGGGAGTTCTCAACGATAATTACAATAGATCGAACAGCTTATCCCATCAATGTACACGTTGTACCGGACGCATTATCGTCGCAGGACCTAATAATAGGAACAGAATTTCTAGAAACGGTAGAAGTTAATTTGAAAAGGGGAGAAATTTCGATCAAGGAACTCGAAGGCGCTGGTAATTCGGTGGTTTCGAGTGTTGACATTGAGCCAGAAGTCAATCAGGTTGATTTGTCTCGCATCATAATCCCTGAAAATAGAAAAACCCTTGTAGACGAAGTTGTAGACGAAGTTGTAGACGAAGTTGTAGACGAAGTTGAAGACGAAGGTGAGAACCAAAGTGTGGACAAAGGTGAGAAATATTTGGATTTTTATCATGCAGGGAACGGGGAGACCGACGCGATCCAGAAGAGGAACGTAGGTTCGAATGGGTTGCCGCAAGCAAGCGACGGTGAAGAGATGCAGGGAGCGGTTCCGGCAGTCGCGATAGGAGGAAAGACGGTAGACGAAGATGTCTACGAAGACGACTGGAAGAATTAGAGCGCGAGCGACGATGAAAACGATGACGAGGACGATGGAAAGAACGATGGCGCGAGCGACGGGAAGAGCAACAATGAAAACGAGAAAGAAGACGAGAGAGAATATCATGAGGCTGAGGGCGACGATGACGACGAAGACGAGGACGATGGAAAGAACGATGACGCGGGCGACGGGAAGTACGACGATGAAGACGAAGACGAGGGCGCATACAAGGACAAAAATAAGGACGAAGGCGAGAAGGGTACGAGGACAATGAAAAGACCCATGGCGCGAACGACGATGAAGACGAGAACAAAGACGAGAGCGAAGACGAGAACGAAAACGAGAACGAAGACGAGAACGAAGACGAGAACGAAGACGAGAACGAAGACGAGAACGAAGACGAGAATGAAGATGACGAGGACGAAGGCGGTTGGAAGAACAAGAGCGCGAGAGACGATGAAGCCGAGGGTGCAGATCACGAGGACAAGGGCGAAGACCGCGAGGATGATGGGAAGGGCGATGGTGCGAGCGACGAGAGGAGCGACAACGAAAACGAAGATAGGGACAAAGACAAGGACGAGGACGAGGGTGAAGACGAGGAGGCGAAGCACCGGGACAACTATCAGCACCCGCAGAAGATATTGGTACAGCGACGGCGAGAGGTGCAGAATGGTTTTTGACCGTGGTCGTCTCCGGCCAATTCGGGCGTCTACGACAATGTCAATTTGGCAGGGAAATTGGACAATGCTTTTTTTTTAAAGAAGTGCGGCGGAAAACGGGGACAGTGTTAGCGGAACATCTGAGGACAGATGTTCAAGTCAGGAGGGCCGAGTGTGGTATCGCAGGATGAGCGGGTTATCTAGAGTGCGTGCGAAAGGATGAATGATCGTGCGTTAGGATCGTGTGGACGAGATGTTTATGAATGTATCGGGTGGCTTTAGGAATGCGTTCGAGTGTTTGGGCTGAGTGACCCGCTGAGGGTAAGATTGCGAGGAGTGCGTGGGAAAGTATGATTGGAAAGAGAGAATAGGTATGAAAGAGGATAGAATGGATGGTTTTAAATAGGGATGCAAGGGCGTGAGTGGAGTCAGTCAGTCGCACAGTCAGAGTCAGTCAGTGACAGAGAGAGACGGTGTGGAGTCGGTCGCGGTACGTGTGGTATAGGAGAGTTCAGAGAGAGAGTTGTGAAGAAAGGTGTATCAGTGTTGCGAATATAAACGTGTTGTTAGGATTAATAAATAGTAGTTTTAGTATTATTCGTGTATTCGTGTTGTCCCACCCTATCTCTGCAGTATTAATTTTTTTAATTGAAACTGTCACCAAACTTCTTATAAGCACAGCTATTTATAAAAGATAATTATATTGTGAAATGTCAATTACATTACATAATTGCAAGTAAAATCCTTTTCTTACGTTACTTATTGAATTAACAAATTCTTTCTTGTTAACATGGGGAAGAAGATTTATAAACAGAATTCAACAATTTACAGGGAGCCATTTCCTCATAACATATACTTTACGTACCTATATTTTATCTTCGTTTCGAATGATCACTTACGTACGAATGCACCCGTGTACCTCGAATAGTGCACATTACCCTGAAGGAGGGACTTCCTTCACAATTGTCTTCGTTTGTAGATCCTTCTTCTTCAGGGTGATCAATTCACGGATTAAGGGGACACCGTTGGTTCAATTAATCGCCACATCTGCGAAGTTCAGCAATACTTCTTTATCGTTCGAGAAAGCTGTTGATCTTTTTTCTCGTGAACCACGAAACATCATTGAACTGGTTGCTGAGTATTAATTTGATGGGCAATATTACAGGATCGATAGATAGACTTAAAACCCGTGGGAATATGCCTACAAGTCAATTGCAACGCAACAGTGACTCAAAATCCAATAAAAATTCAAAGAAATTATATTCATGCCAAAATAAAATAATTTCTAGTGATTGTTAGAGAAATGATTATTGTTCACGATTTAATAATTCACGCGGTCCCATTGTGGATCAAAAACCAGGACTAGAAGACCTGTTACGGTCCTCTAGCAGCCAGACCCTAAATGCTGGCTCATTTCACATTAGGTGCTTCCCATATTTACCTATTTAATGTACATTACTACAAACCTGTCCTTATTGCCTCGAATCACCGGACACGAGACATGATTAAGCGCCTAATTTTGGAGAATCAGGCAACAGCATTTAGGATTTAGTTAACAATGGTCCTGTGGAACAACTAATGTTTCCTTAGTTTCTCGGCGCCTTTGCGCTGCTATGCCGCACCTGGTACATTTTTGGATATAGCGACAGGTGTTGGATACGAATTTATCATGGACAGCATACCAATGAAAAAAGCATGGTCCAACCAGCGGAGGAAGTCAACCCGCACTTGACCCTTAGTAGGCTTAAGGAGTACGCCCGAGGAGGTACCCGATTTGGCGTATTACTCTTGGGCCACTTCAGGTCTGGCATGGGTATGAGATCCAACCGAAGGTTTCCATGGTCCGTTCAGATAGGTCCTGTGGAACACAAGACCAGGCTATATGTGCCGGTTAAGACATTCGAAGCCATAAAGTAAAGGTGATCTTGCCACGGTAACCTCTCAAGAAGGGTCGCCAACATACAGGTGATTCCCCAAGAACCACATTCTGAAGGAGGGGCTTCCTCCACCAGAAACCTTGTCGTGGAGAACGTTCCACCGTTTTCTGCGTTAACTGCATCGCGGACCAAGGGCCCGCCCCTGGTCCGACAAACTGCCAACAAGGAAAATGCTTCTCCTTTGGCGATTTATGACCAGTTTTTAGCTTCGAATGGTAAAGTTTTCAAATGGTCGTTGTTCAGTTACAAGAGCGAAAGCATCAGTTCAAATAATTCAGAAAATCAGTCATGGATTAGTTTCTAGGAGTCGCTGGCATCGTAGTTGTCATCGCATGAACAAGTCAAACGTTGATCAATTTCAACAGCGAAATACTGATTCAACGAAGTCGTATAACTCATTCAGGGAGCGAACCAGGTCGCTCTCAAGTCGTTCTCAGTGACTCAATGATCAAGCATTGCGAATAATCATTCACAAAAGGAAACAGTGAAGAGATGAAAATAAGAAATATACAATTTTTTAGAATTTTTATTTTTCTATTTTTATTTACATACTTTCTTACTTTTCCATTCTTTTTTTCTTCGTCTTTTATCCACAGTTGTGTCGAAATCTCCTACGTCTCTTCGATGTTTCGCGCCTATTGTACGTTGCGAAGATGATAATTATAACCCTACATTAACTCTTGGACAATCGAACGTGTGATACTCTCTGCTTCGAGATAAACAGTTACGTCTAATTCTACCTTCAAGCAATAAGACAAAGTAGTGCTCCTGTTACGGACCCAATCCGTGAATTCAGGGATCAAGTTAGCAGACACATGATTGTTGGATTGTAAGACCAACGTGTGCAAAGAATCTGACTCGAAAAAACCGACGATTCGGCAGAAGTGGGCTCGGATGCTCGAATGTGATCGTGTCGATTATATAGCGAATAACCGTCCAACACTGGTTATTCACAATGGTTAATTGATGAGTGGCTGAGATTGATTTGGGCGCGACGACTTGTTTAAAGCTATGTGCTCGCTCCTGAAATTGTTCAACGACTGACGATGTTTCGGAGCTGAAAAGTGATACGAACCGCTAAAGGAGAAGCGTCCTCCTGATTGGCATGATTGGCAAGGGTGGGACATTTGTTCCGTGAATCAGGTATCCCCAAAAACGTCCTCCGCGACAAGGTCGCTAGTGGAGGAAACCCTTCCCTCAGAGTGAGCTTCTTGTGGGTATATTGGTGACCCTTCTTGACAGGTGACCGGCAAAGTCACCTTGACCTTATGGCTTCGAGAGTCGTAAACAACGCACATGGTATAGTTCGTTCTTCTACGGGCCCATTGTCAGCAAATCCTAAATGCTGTTACCTGCAACCCTGAAATTAGGCGCTAAAGAATGCCTCGTTCTCGGTGAACGGTGAACCGAGAAAAATAGGGAAAGGTTTTCAAAATGCACAATAACCAGATGAAATGGAAAGTTCGGAATATAAAATAAGTCAGCAATTGGAGTTTGGCTGCTGAAAGACTCTAACGGGTCTTTTAGGCCCTGGGTTTTATGCAACGATGGGATATATAAGTGCTATTATTTGTACAATTACATTATGAAATTTTACGTTCGACTGCTACCATCTTACATATTATTTGCTTTCATCCTCCACCGGCAATGTGATCGGATATGACTGTAAACATGGTATCAGGATTGACTGAGTACATATTGCACTCTCCTCGGCCCTGATTTTCCATAACCAGAGAGTGGATGAGACAAGTCCACGTTTTGGTAATTTTCAGAAATTTATAGTAATGTGCCTCTTCTATGCCTCTTTTCCGAGACATTGCTGCACAATCAGGGAGGAGTCGACCAATGCTGAAACTGATTCACGAAAATGCAGTCGAAAGATTTTTTAAAGCAAAAGGATTGCCGTATGGGTGCGAAATAACGAATTAACAGAAAAACTTAGAAATTTTTTCGCACTAAATATTACCATAGAATTTTTCGAAATTATGCTTCTTGACCTATTCATCGTTAAATCTCTGGAATTACAGGTACAAATTTTTTCAAAAATTCTAACAGAATATTTGTAATTTAACGGAAACATCAATTAACTACCTCCTATGCCTCTCAAAGTACTAGAAAGGAATCCTTATATCCCTAACTTAAAAATATATTTCACTTCGTGGAACGGAAGGAATAACTTATTTCAAAGGACCCAGTCCTCGCTGGGTGACGGCTAGCTATTAGTTAGATATGTTTCAGTAAAGGAGAGCTTAAACGCAGTAAATTACTGTAAAGGTGAGTTTAAACGTAGAAAATATGTTGTAACATTTTGAGTTTGAAAGAATTGGAAAATAGTACTAAAAGTTACATTAATATCATCCATAATAATCTTCACTTTTAGTTTAATAATTATTTATCAGCAAAATTCTAAAACATTCTCTACTTTTATACTCCTCAGGGTGATGCCATTTTTCTCGCTAAAGCTGAAAAAATTCAATTTTGAAAGAATAAGCAAAGATATGTACTCAAGTTAGTTAGCGCCAGACATACTGTTTTTAGAAAACTATTCTAAGGAAATGAAAATTATAATCAATTTACAAGTCAGTGTGTGTACAATTTCAGGAGCGTAATATCGCTTCGAACAAGTTTCATTCAGGGAGAAAACCACGTCGCTCCCAGATCGTTCTCAACGACTCAACGATGGACCATTGCGAATAATCATTCACCGCTGAGTGGTTATTTTCAACATATTCGAATCGGACACCGACACGTCGAGGATTGTGTAGCACACATTGGCCTTTCAACCCAAACATCATTGCCCGCTGAATTGGTCCTCGTATTCACGGATTGGGTCCGTAACGTCAATTTTTATGTATAAAAATATTTACTAATCAAAGGACAACTTTCAATTATAGTTCCAATAATATGTTGCACTATGATCCGTCTGAAAATAAACTCATTTAAATATGTACCTGACATCTTGATGCAAATATAAAGGTGTCTTCCAATATGACTTTTTGTTACAACTTTATTTCCCTTTCTTCAACTAACTCCTGAAAGTCCATTAAATCACGGGTTATCAATTTTTCAACTTTGTAACTTTCT